CTGGTCACTCCCGCCGCCCCTACCCTGGCCCGGAAGCTGCGGTGCGAGAGGCGAGTGGACGACCTGTGGGCCGAGCAGCCCCATCCTGGGGGTCCTCCTGGAAAGAAGCATGTGAATTGTGGTTTCCCTTCGGTACAGAGCCTGAAAGGCGTTTACTACCTCTTAGTAAAGAAAAGTGCTGGTGATGCGCCGGTCCTGATCGGCTTAAGCACCGTGTTGTCGCAGACCGAGGGGCCACGTGCAAATGCAGACTTCATTCCAGAAGAGTTTATGGAACGCTGAACGCAATCCATGGGTGAATGGAGCTGCACAGATTGCTCTCGGCCCTCAACCGTCAAAAATGATAACAGCACAAACTTCGATAGTGCTGTACGATTTACAGCTCACGGCTATTATCTCACTTACTCCTAGCAATCCTATGCGGCGGGTAGTTTCTTTTTGCAAATGAGATAACTGAAACTCAGCCTTGACCCAGAGCACCCAGGGATCTGTGCCCAGGTGAAAAGGAGGGCTTGTGGGAGAAGTCACATTGTCAGCAATTTAAAACTTGACTTCCGGGTGTTTTGAGGCTGATAAGCACCCCCTCAACTCCTGACAGTAAAGGATGGGTTGTTTAAAATGGTACCCGGGAGCTCAAGAGCCCTTTTTTCCTGCCCCCAAATTCCCAGGACTACTGGAAGAATTTTCCGCCAAAAGGCAGTTCTGAGCACTGTGTGGGTGGCCTAAAGGCTCCTGCCTCCAGGACACCGGGTGAGGTCTCCATCGAGTTGTTGACCCCCGGGGCAACTTTATCCTGCAGTGGTTCTTAACCAGGGGAGAGAAAACTCGAGGTTACTGTGAATTTGGATGACAAATTTTACATTTTCATTTTCACTAACGTCTAACTGACGTTTAGCATTTCCTTTCGTTATGAATATAGGCAGCACACCGCAGTGGTAGTAGCTTAAGTATCTAAGATTTAGTCTCCAGTAGAACCCACAGGTTTTTTACATCACATCACAGTTGTTGCAATTATCTTAAATTACAGCAGTTATTAGGTAAACCCTCCGCTAGATCTTATGTAATATGTCAATTAAAAAGAATTGTGTATTGCTATTGTACAATTTTCAAACATTGTGTTAATTATTACAATATAATTGGTTTCCTTTGTAATCCCATATATTTTATTTTTTGTATTTAAAAACCTCGTTCTGAAAAGGGGTCTATGGTCTTTAGCAGCCTGTCAAAGGGGTCTCATAGCATAAAAAAGGTTAAGAAGGCAAAAGGCTTCCGAATGCCTTGGGGAGACTGCCTTGGACTCTGACATCCCTGCATTGGAAACAGAAGTAGAGTGCAGTGCCCAGGGCAGAGCTGGAGCTCTGTGTGTGCGCATGCGGGTAGGGTACCCCTTCACTTCAATGGGTATTTGTACCCAGGGAACAGACAGTGCCACAGAGAAAAGCCACCTGAACGTCGTCAAGAGTTCACAGGTGTAACAGCTGCCAGTGAATCCCTTAGACTAGTAGAGGCAGCTTTTCAGCCAACTCCAGTCAAATATAATCAAAAGTGGGGTACAGTGGGTTCAAATTCAGTAGGCAGTCCTGGTGATCACACTGTTTTAACAAATGTGTGATAACTTTGATAAGGTTGAGAAATTGTTCAAGACTATAATCTAGTACACTAGGAAATATCTGCAGTATGGTTTTTCACGCAAATTGGTTCCAAATTAGCCTTTCTTAAACTATTCAAGAGAGACAGGTTCAGGCTCTTACAGTTAGAGCACAGTGAACCTCACTACAGGGTGGTACTCAGCAGGAGCCGCTAATATAACTGCACCGATTGCTGAAATACTTCTAAGCTGTTTGATAAAAGCTCTGCCCGAATTCCCCAAATTCACCCCTCTCTGGCCACTTTCCTAGGACACACTAACTTCCCCACAATCCAGCAGCTAAAAGTTTAAGCCCTTAAGCCCTGGTGCTGCAAGGGCTTCTTTTGATTGAGTGTGCCCATGTCATACCAGCTGTTAACTATACTAAATAATCACCCCTTCATTTCCAAGAGTAATTCTGTACACCATTCATCACTTTCTTCCCTAGATATGTTTAGTAGATGATGATGTTTCACGAGCCAGAGTTACCTACTTGATCCCAAATATCGATTGTGCTGAAATTCAATTTTTAAATAATGTTAAATTTAAATACAGCAATTAAATATATAGTGCTACTGAATTGAATGCTGCTGTGTAGGAGAAGGAAGGGATAAAGAAAAACAAGGATGAGAAACTTGATCTAGAGCAGGGTCCCCAACCCCTGGTACCGGTCCATGGCCTATTAGGAATCGGGCCGCACTGCAGGAGGTGAGCGGTGGGCCAGTGAGTGAAGCTTCATATGTATTTGCAGCCACTCCCCAGCGCTAGCATCACCACCTCAGCTCCGCCTCAGATCATCAGGCATTAGATTCTCATAGGAGCACTGGTCCCTGGTGCCAAAAATGTTGGGGACTGCTGTGCCGAGTGCCCATTAAAAATGAAAAACTTATCAACCATACATGTACCTTCCACCTGTCTCCTGCCTAGAATGCCAAATATACTTGAAGTTGAGTCAAACTCCAAGGACTCCTAACAATAATTGCTTTGAAGATTGTCAGCTCTTCACAATCGAGTTTTGTGAATCGGTTGTTATTTCCATGGTAAATAGAATTACCGTGACATAATGGATACGTGTCTTACAAAAAAGAGATCTAGAAATCCTTAAGGATCTGCTAGGACAATGTTGATCTCTGTGCCAAAGGAATAAAAGATTTAAGAAACCTAAAAAGTATGAAATAAGGGGAAAAAATGAAAAAACAAATCTGGGACAAGAAGATGCTTGTCTGGAACCAAAGCGAGAGAGCTTGATGATAGAAGTGTGCTGACTGTACAAGGCGTGGTGTGTGTTGTGTGTGTGTGTGTGCATGTGCACACATGTGCATGTGTACATGCATACACACACGTGTATAAAAAAACAAGATGTGCACATTGTAAGAAGGGCTCTACAAATGCAGTTAAGACAAAATCGTGTCATGTTCCGAAAAAGGGTAGTTAGAAAACAAAAAAGCATGCTTACGAACATGATTATCATATCACAGAAGAAACTTTTACAAACTGAAAATTTTAAATCAAAAGGCAGTGAAAGCTATGAATAGAGGTATTTGCTCAGATGACAGCTTTTGAATTCTTATATTTTACCAATACAGTTTTCAAAGGAAAATTTCTTGTTCTATAACCCACCTTTGGTAGGGGAGCTTTCAAATAATTTTAAACTATTGGTCACCTGTGGAGAAGTCTGAGGAACTCATGTCATGCCTGATATACTTTCCATTTCCTAGGACATACTTTAATCATTTTGATATCAGGTTCACTGTTATATTGATTTCATCTTAACAGTAGAGAATATCCTATCTGCTGCTTTTAGGCAACACAGAAACTAGCTATTGAAAACATGTCTTTATTCTCCAACAGTTTTACATATCCCCTGGAGCCCTTTAATGAAACGCCATATATCAGAATGGTTAGCAGATGGTCTATGGAACTCAAGTCCCTTGCTTCAAATCCTACCTCTGCTCCACGCTGGCAAGATGTCTTTAAACAAGTCATTTAATCTCTCTGCACATCGTTTCCCCAGCAATGGAGTGGGGCTAATGATAGCATCGACCCTCACAGAATTGCCTTCCCTTAGGATTTATAAAGTTCATGTGATTGGAAGCACTTAGAATGTTGTGTTAAAACCAGAACTTCCACCTGCGTACAGGCTTTCGAAATTTGGTTTTTACAAGTGATTCATTGACCCATGCATGATAGACCCATAGTTCCATGCACTAGATACATAAACTGTTTCAAATAGGGATTCTACAATTCGATAGCAGACTTTTTGTTTCAGAAAAAAAAAATGTTTTCCTGTATTGCTTTTTTGTCTCCTTATTCAAGTGTTCAGGAGTTTTCCTTCTACGTTGAACCTTTTTGTTTTAACATTTTGTTCGCTCTAACTCACAGCACATTTTATAGGACAAACCCGCCTTTGGTTGGGATTAGGAGAATCCAAATTGACAGCTATACCTTATTTTGACACCCACATCTATTTTATTAATTTCCAGTTTTATTGAGATATAATTGATACATAACATTGTATAAGTTTAAGGTATACAATATACTGGTTTGATATATGTATATATGGGAAAATGATCACAATAAGTTTAGTTAACATCCATAACCTCATAATTTTTTTCTCGTAATTAGAACTTTTAAGATTTACTCTTAGCAATTTTCAAATATACAATATAATTATATAGTCGCCATGCTGTGCATTACATCCCCAGGACTTACTACCTAGAAGTTTGTACCTTTTTACCACCTTCACCCATTTCCCTACCCCCCTACCCCCACCTCTGGTAACTACCAATCTGTTCCATTAGTGTGAGCGATTTTTTTTTTTTTAGATTTCACATCTCAGTGAGATGATACAGTATTTGCTTTCCTCCGTCTGACTTATTTCACTTAGCTTAATGCCTTCAAGTTTCATCCATGTTGTCATCAACTGCAGGATTTCATTCCTTTTATGGCTAAATAGTATTCCATTGTATATATACCACATTCT